TGTGTGTGTGTGTGTGTGTGTGTGGCCAGCTCAGCCCACCAAGGAGCGGGGCTGGCCAGCATGTGGTGCTGGGGATTGAACCGTGGTCCCTGCACTTTGCTAAGCTTGTTGTAAGTAGGTGCTTTAGACCACTGAGCCATCTCACCAGCCCCTGTTTAGTTTTTTTGAGACAGGTTCTTGCTACATAATCAAGGCTGGCCTTGAATTTACTATGTAGCCCATACTGGCCTCAAATTCATAATCCTTCTGTCTCCACCTCTAAATGCTGAGATTACAGACTTGTGTCACTATGCTTACCTGGATTCCCCTAGTTTGTGTGTGTGTGATTATGTTCACTGAAGTTTTCAGATTATCTGGGATTACTCTGGATGTTCTACAAAGATGGAAAATGGTGCTGGGGGCTCTGGGAGTCCAGGAGCATTCGCAAAGGAGCCACTTGTTCTTAACTCCTGGACAAGAACAGAGTGCTTCAGTGCTACGACTTCCTAAGCCTGTGTAACCTTCCTGAACTATAGAAGGGAAGGAAACTTATCTCCTCACGGTACAGTGTTTTTTGTCCTGAGGCTGTGGCTTTGGTCTACCTGTAGTTCTTACCACTTCTGACAAGCTACCTGAGCCTCTGTGTTGGAGAGGTGGTCCTTTTAGTTCCTTTTTTTTTAAATTATAGCCTTTTGAGTAAGGCTTCTTCCACATTGCATTATGCATATTTTTTTAAAAATAAAACTGAAGGTGAAGAGGGGAGAGGCGACAGTTAATCTAGATGAATAGGGAGTATTGGAAAGTGAGCTACGCCTTACTTTTTTAACTGTATTCAGGCCATTTACACCAGTTTAACGTCCCTCCAGGGGAGGAGCTTACCTAGGCTCTGTGCCAGGCCTCCCTTCCTCCCTAGAACACCCCCTTGCTTTCCGCCGCCAGGGGTGAGTGAGGCTGTAGGACGAGGTGGGTTCCCCGCAGCTCCTGAGGTCGGCAGAGGGCGCTGTGGGCCCAGGACGCCCGTCCCAGGGAGGACAGAGGCTCCGCCTCCTTCCGGGCCTCGAGGGCTGCTCAGCTCCCAAAAGTCAGAGGCCGAGCTGCGGCCACGGCCAGGTAAATCCCTCTCTTCCCTAAGCGGCCACCGCGTGCCCGGCGATGGCAGCCCCTCTCCTGGCCCGCGGCGGCAGGCAGGGGCACCCCCGCGCCGTGCGTACGTCCGGTTCCCGGGCGCCTCGGAGTCCCGCCCGGCCCACGCCCCCACCCCACCCCACCC